CCATGAGATAAGAGACTCCTTAATATATTCTACTGAATATGTTCCTTAATATATTCACAACCTGTTGGGCCAAAAATAAACAGACACAATTTTTTATTTGTGCAGAAATTTTAGAACTAATAAATTAAATTTGCTTTATTACTAATTTTTATTATTTACTGAAGTATTTTGACTTTACATAAAGCTTATACTCCAATTTCCCTCAGAGCAATGTTTGAAGGAAACCAGCATGGCCCCCAATAAAGCAGTTTCCGACCTGAGTGAAAAGCAGGAGCTTTGACCTTCAAAAAAGTCAAAGCAGGAGCTTTGACTCAAAAAAGGGATCTGTGCTTTCTGTTAAAGGCAGAAAGACTTCTATTTGCACAGCTAGTTTCCATCTTCACCCGGCCCTCTGCATCCAGCAGCGGACATGTAGATCCCATGGGTAGCCAGTCACTTGTCTGGGAACATTTTCTAGAAACACAACAGTGTTTGTTTATTAGCCTATTCATATTGAGGGCCTTTTATAAGAAGAAGAGCAGAGAGTAGTCCATCCCTCCCTGTCCCACATTGAGGATGCAGTGAGAAGGTAGCTATCTGCAAGCTCAAAAAAAAAAAAAAAAAAAAAAAAGAACCCTCACCATAGAACCAAATGGACCAGACACTCAGTTCAGGCTTCCTAACCACCAGATTGAAAAATTCTTATTTAAGACAGTCCACCTTTGAGATACTATATCCCATTCTCAGAACCTCTGCCTTTCCATGGGTGAAATGATGGCTATTGTGCCTTATTTGCTTTGCTGGCATTTAATACGATTGCTATACAAAACGTACTGAAGTTCTTGGTTTGATTCTGTTATGGCTGACTAGTGTAGGAGGATGGTCTTGTGTTACAATGGTAAAATTGAATAGTTGAGGTAGGCATACATCCTAAGGTTTTCACTGTCTGTGCCTTGATTCACAAAGTTTGCTAATCCTAGCTCTAATTGTTGTATAAAATTACCTGAACATTATTTTTACATGAACTTTTAAAATAGAAGAGTGTAAGACTTAAGTTTCTTTTAAGGGAAACCTCATTTGTATAGCAGGAGATGAGGGCAAGGAACCAAAGAATCACCCAGTTCCTCTCTAGCATAGCCATGGAAAACCACATACTCGACATCTCCACTGAACCAATGCTTCAATTTATAAAGTGGTCAGAGCTATACTTCAATACAGCCAAGAATCTGGATTCAAAATCTGATCCCCTGCTTACTAGAACTATATTCTTACTCAGTGGCCATGGCCACTATGAGATCCATAGCTCACCAAGAGCACAGTCTCAGTTACACAAGTGAGTGACAATCGTTCGACACAATTGTTCTTACAATAACAGCAAAAACAACCTCAGTTTTTTACAACTAGTAAATCGATGGGGACTAAAGTAAATGAGCAAATGAGACATCCTACAAACTGTGGAGCATGTGTCTGTGAAAGATGTCTATGGAAAAGCCTGGCAGTAATTGTGGGAAGTTTGTAGAATCAAAGAATGGTTAAAATCCAGATCTTGACCGACAAATTACTTGGTTGGTGTAAATACCACTCTCTGAACCTTCACCTTCTTGTAGTTAAAATGGAGATTGTTATGATTTGTATGTGGGATGCTGACTTTAATAATATTATCATACATAAAATACTTATGCCTAGACACATAAAATAGGCTGTTTGAATGGTAGTTGGTATTACTAATCTTTGAAGACACTCTTTCACAGTTCTCTTTCACAGTTTTTTTGGCTGAGAAGAAAGTGGCAGAGACTGGCAACACATCCTTTTCTCCAGTTAGCCAAGTTACTAAATAACCCAGAAGAGCAGAAGGATGGGATTGTGAATGAGATTAGAATTATTATCAGAATGAATAGAATTCAAAGGCAATGCAAGTTATAACAGACTGAAAATGGGAGAAGCCATTCGTAACTTAGTACACTAGCACCTGTAGAGACAAGTATATGGTCCCCAGATCCTGATTAAAAAATAAAAACAAATGCATGTTCTTGGTCTGTAGCTTATTTTTTTTAAACTGGTGGAGCCTTAGTTATACAGGTTGTCAGCTATAATAACCAGCAAAATGTGTGTGTGTGTGTGTGTGTGTGTGTGTGTTGTACCTCCTACAGAGCTTGCTTTATGATTGACTTATTTTGATGAAACTTATATTCTATTTGTGATCTGTTTGAATTATTCCTTCTTAAGTCTGCCTTGCCACCATATCAGTTGGTATACTAGCTAGTTTTATGTCAACTTGACACAAGCTGTCATCTGAAATAAGGGAGCCTCAACTGAAAAAAAAAGAAGTCTCTTTAACATCCAACTATGGGACATTTTCTTAATTAGTGATTAATGGGAAAATTCCCAGCCCATTGTGAGTGGTACCATCCTTGGGCTGGTAGTCCTGGGTTCTATAAGAAAGTAGGCTGAGAAAGTTATAATGAGCAAGCCAATAAGCAGTACCCAATCCACGGCTTCTGCATCAGCTTCTGAGTTGTGGAATACGACTTAAATAAGCAAATATCTGTTACACTTGTTTATGCTGCATTTGTTTGACAATATACAGATGTATTGCTTTGCCTACCTAAGGCACCTGATTGGTCTCATAAAAAGTTGAACAGCCAATATCTAGACAGCAGGTCTGGTTGGCTGAGGGAGTAATAGCAGGAATCTAGGCTCAAGAGAGAAGAGACTAAAGGGGAAAAGAAACAAAGACATGTCAGGGCCAGCCAGGCATGCAGCTGAAGTCAGTCAAACAAGGAATAGGACATATAGAATAAAGGAAAGGCAAAAGTCCCTGAAGCAAAACAAATGAAGAGAAATAGGTTAAGTTAATTTATAAAAGCTAGTGGGAAAAGAATAAGATAAGGCCAAGCATTCATAACTAATGAGTCTCCTTGTCATGATTTGGGAGCTGGTTGGTAGCCCCAAAGAAAGCCTGCTATACTTCTGCCTCCAGGTTCCTGCCCTGCTTGAGTTCTGTTCTGACTTCCTTGAGTTATATACTACAGTGTGGCCGTGCAAGCCAAATAAACTCTTTCCTCAGCTCACTCTTGGTCAGGATGTTTCATTGCACTAACAGTGACCCTAACAAGGGCAGTGGGTTATTTAACATTAATTCCCCGGGCTCTGATTTCTTCACATGACTGAAGGAAGAAAAAAGTCCCCATCTTATGTCACAAAATGTCATACATATCAGATGAGATTTGATGTAAGAAATCTGTTCTGAAAAGGACCATGATAGTATGTATTCTACAAAATGTAATATAAGGGTTTAGGTCCCCTTACAGAATGGGGAAGAATTCCAAAATCAGATCCATTTTGAAACAGTGTGACTATAAGAGCTTCAAATAGCTGTTTGTGGATGGAGACCTTACAGTGGAAAGCAGAGTAAGGATGCAAGAACTGTGGGCTCCCTAACAGCAGGCAAAATATTTGATGCATGTTTGGGTCCTTCCCTTTCATCCATCCCCGGCTAAGGTCCAATTGTTGATGTTCCACATGATGTGCACTTGAAGCTTTCTGAGCCCAGGAGTCTGTCGTTCATCCCTGTTCTCTACAACCATTTGCTTGTCCCACAGATTCTGGATGGATATTCAATGACAATTTGTTAACAAACATATGAACTGAAACCTTGCTCTAACACAGATAAAGTGTTTGAAAAGTCAGTGGGATTCCCATTCCTACTGGCTTAGACGTGTCTTGGACCCTGAACAAGAAGCACATTGATTTAATTCTATTTGTTTCTGTATTGCTACAGTGTGGACATTAATTTCTATATTGATGGGCTTGTTTGCCTTCACATTAGCTACAAGGAAGGTTTTAAGAGCCTGTCGAAAGGAAGGACCATTATTCCAAAATACTTCAGTATGGACAGGCAATGATTTTACGTGAAGTTCCTTAAGTGCAGTTATACAAATGTGTATTTCATTCTTGGCCATAAAAGAGTCTTAGTCAATGCCCGACGACCTATAAATCAGGGAGAGGAGGTTTCTTTATGCAAATAACTTTATGTCACACTCATCAATAAAGAAGCAGATGGTAATGAAGGTCAAATTTGCAGGAGCACCAGAGCAAATGAATCCCATCTCTGTTTTCAGGGTATGTCAGTGTGGCGAACTCCTTTTTCTGACGGTGTTCTTTGAAAGAACTGAGGAAGAGGAAGCTTTGTGAATCGATTATGAGATGAGAAGATGGGTTTAAAGAGCAATGGGAATAGATAATGGGTAGCCAGTTTGACTGACATTCCCAACTCGGAAGACATCCATACCATCAAAGAAAGATGCTGCTGTTCCTTTTAGAGTGGTGTCTCAAAGTCCAGGAGCAAACCATATGTGAGGGGTATCCTTGGTTGCCAACTTCCCTGCATTTGGAATTAGCTAGAGACCAAGGGGCTGAGTACCCCTATGAGGGATTTTTCTTCATTCTATTATTTGAAGTGGAAAGATTCACCCTAAATCTGGATCTTTTGAGGCAAGAAGATCCCCCTTAAATTTGGGCCACCTCATCTGGTGGCAGTCTATATGAAGGACATGGAAGAAGGATAGCTGGACCTTTGCCTGTTTGTACTCACTCTCTTTGGCAAGTTCATGACTTCATTGCTATTAGAGCCTATTTCTTTGGGATCCTGATGTATACTGAAGGCCATGTGAGACACACAGCCTTGTGAACTCCACAACTCCTCCATCCTTGGACCTTGGACATTCTAACCTCTCAGTAGTAATATACCATGCCATGGCACAGTTTCCAGACCCATTTGCTTTTTCCCAAGTTCGTTTTTCATTTTTCATCTTAAATAACAAAGGCTCAAACATTTACTTAGATAATCAGAGTATCTTCTCCCTTTCAAGGTGAACAATATAAATAAAAGGAAAGAAAATGACATCACTCTATGGAGACAAGAATGGACCACTTCAAAATGAAATCGTTTTCATTCTTGGCTGATAGAATATAATCTGCTAGCCCCTGGGTACTCATAAGGGAATGTAGAGACAACATACCCGCTTCCTTAGATTGCAAGTGAGAGTAAGGTTCCTTGAAAATGAGTTTGCAAACGCTGTGTAGAAGTCAAGGACCTTGAGCAAGGCTTCTCGCTTAATGATGTGCAGGTCACAGTAAGTCAGGGCCCGGACATTGGCACAAGCATGAGCAAGGGTGGTTTCCTTCCAGAAGATGTCTCCAAACACATCGCCTTTCCCTGGAAAGCAGGACAAGACAACAGGTTCAGCCACACCCACTGGTGTTATTCAGCTTAAGAGATCATGCTCATCTATAGAATTTAGAGCACCAGCCCCTCTGCATATACAGAACATTGCACAGCAACTTTTCATCATAGCAACACACCCCAGGTTTCAGTTTTGGATGGAAACCTGGTGTGGGTAGCATACATGCAATTCACTGGAGTAGTTAATACCCTCATTGTAACAAACAATTTCAATAGCGTTCGCATCATTACCTTTTCCCATCTGATTAGAAAGAGCAAAAATAACTTCTTTTTTTTTCTTTCTCACTCTCTCTAGGAAGAAAATTGACAACAAAACAAAATGCAGTCCAAGAATCTGTTGTTATATCATTTACAAATCTATGACAGACGCGATGTACGTTAAACCGAATTATTCATTATAACTTAGCATTGCACTCCAAGCACACTGAGACTTGTCACGTCTCTGTCCTCAGAGTATGACCTTCTCTTCCCACATAATTAACCTAACAAGGTCTCAAGGTCTGGCTCAAGTGCACCTTAATCGTAAGAAACTAAACTGCTCCAGGTGGTGGTGGTGCACGCCTTTAATCCCAGCACTTGGGAGGCAGAGACAGGTGGATCTCTGTGAGTTCAAGGCCAGTCTGGTCTGCAAAGTGAGTTTCAAAACAGGCCCCAAAGCTACAGAGAAACCCTAATCAAAAACAAAAAAACCAACAACAACAAGAAAAAGAAAGAAAGAAACTAAACCATGAGAAAATGGGAAATGGTGAAGGATACACACTTGTAATCCCACAGAACCAGAGAAATAGTCCCATGCAAGAGTAAAATGTAGATGTATCTCTAAAATTCTAAAAGTAAAGGAATCACCTATTCACTTCAGAAGCCCCACCCCTAGATGCTCAAGAACATTCAACATTCCAAATCAGAAGCCTTAGTTTTACAAAGGGCTTGAGGGAATGTCAAATGTCAAAATTCAGCCATGTGCTTCCTTTGTTCTGTTTCTGCCAATCTGTGTTAAGATGGAAGAGACAGCAGGAATATACTCCAGTGGGATGCGCTTTTCTAGAGGCATCCCGTGGATGACTTGTTCTTTCCACATCCTAATCACACAGAGGAACACATACCTATTTATACTGTGTAGATTCAGATCTGAACAGGGGGAAAAGAAGTGTTCCATAAACCCTCAGGCACAATCACACCAAGAGAAAGGAAAATGGGTGTAAACCAGAGAAATGGGAGAAAGAAATGCACATAGAAACAAAGAAGCTGGTTGAGTAGATCACAGATTCTTTGCCCAAATGGGCAGCAGGGAGGCTCTTTGATGTAGTAGCAGAGGGGCCAACCTCAACAGACACTCTATGGTAGATGCAGAAGGTGCTCAGAGCACCATGTGGGCCACAAGATCAGCATAAATTAACCATAGTAGCTACTTAACTCATTTTCAACAATCCACTGGTATTTCGACCCACTGAAAAATCCTTGCAGTCGGTGTCACTGTTAGTGATGCAGTTGTTCGATAACTACAGCTGTGCAAGAAAATAACATTAGAGGCCAAGTAGATAAATAATCAAGGGACACATTATTATGATAACCGGGGAGACCGATGACAGATACTTACATCATAATAACACATCCTATTACAATGATGAAATCTGTATGTGGCATTCTCGTTAAACTAGCAGTTAGAATATAAGTATTCTAACTGCATAATCCGAAGTGCTAAATTTACTTGTGAAAATGCCCACCAAAGTAATATTTATTTATAATATTCCAACAAAGTGTAGTGAGATAAAGGTCAAGGGATGAATAAATTCTGAAACACTGGATAGCCACTAAGTAACACAAATCACATGAAATGGTATACAGAACGCTCATATTACATAAATATAAAATCGGTTCAAATACATGTTATATACAACATGCCTGCCCTACCCTATCACCCATACATATGCATAAAGCTTAGAAGCAAATGAATGGAACTGGAAGCTTCTCTCAGAACTATGGGGACAATGCGTGGGTTTCTCTTAAGTTTACATGCATTATTTTATAAAGAAAAGATGTTAATAGCAGTTATAGTAGCACAGTCTCTAGTGCTAACAACATAAGTTTTTAAGAAGGCTTTTCAAATCCACCTCTACCTAGTTTGTGGTTTTTGTTTGTTTGTTTATTTTTATCTCTAATATGTTTACATATTCTATGTTTTCTTCAGACTCTTATTTTTCCTTAAAGAGAGGGAGAGAGGGTTAGATTTCTTCAGATTCATTTCTATGACAATTTCTCAAATTGATAATTATTTAATATATTTATATTTTAAGTATTTGGTAATTCTTTTCCTATCTATTCCACCATTTTTTAAAATTTATTTGTATACCTTATTCTGCCTGTTGGTCAGAAGAGGGGCAAGCACCAGATCTCATTACAGATGGTTGTGAGCCACCATGTGGTTGCGGGGAATTGAACTCAGGACCTCTGGAAGAGCAGTCAGTGCTCTTAACCACTGAGCCATCACTCTAGGGCCCTCAAATTGCCAATTATAATATCATTTCTGATCAATTTCTAAGTGATCAGCTATGTGATTTTCAGGTATGATATGCTCTGATACTAACTAATGCATTTGACTCAGTAGTCTCAGTTCTAGGAATTAATAAAAAGATTAGAAGCATCTCAAGAAACACACAGGATAATGTTATCAATCACGGGCTGACAGGTTAAAAAACATGCCATATATATATATATATATATATATATATATACTAAATTACAAAATATATGTAAAATATCAATGAATAAAGACTTAAATCAGTTGTGAAATAACATACAAAATGTTGATCTTAGGATACTAGATCAAAATTGATCAAATAATTACAGTGATGAATCTAGAAATTCATTTGCTTCTTTTATGTTTTCCCAATTAAATTAATGGAGTATGGGTTTTTAAAGTATTCTTAGAATATTCTTAATTTCTTTTATGTCTGTTGTGATGCTTCCCTGCTCATTTCTGATTCTGTTATTTTGGGATGTCCATTTCTTTATTTTGATAAGTTGTGTCAAGGGCCTACTTTCATACCACCAGAATGTGTCATAACCAATAGTCCTGCCCACCTATAATACTAATAAATTACAACAATGACCAGTATAGTAAAATAACCCAAAGGGTGCCAGAGTGGCACCCATATCTTGGTAGCAATCAACAACTCTGTAATTGGACTTAAGGCCTCTTTAATAAGAGCGAAATCATGCCTGGTACTAGAAACCCAACCAACTACCTGGGTCTAGTGAGGTTCTTGAAGAAGAAACTACTTTACTAAATGAACATAATTCCTATCTGCCTCTAATAGCTGTAATAAAGTATATAAAAATAAAATAAAGCACCAAGATTCAAAGTATTATCAAGAAATGTATTTTTAAAGAAATTTTTCATGAGAGGATTAAAGTGCATTGTCTAATTATGCTATGATGTATATTCCATTATGATGTGATTAACTTGTCAATCAAGAACAAATTTAGATAAAACAAACAGCTAAAAGAAAGTGCATTTAGTAATAAAACTAAAGGTTTCGAGTAATGTGTTCATCACTTTTTTTCTGTCATTTCACAGTTTACTTTAGAATGATTCTTTATAACCTTTATCAAAATGAGCAAAACAATTAAAGTATGTACAAATATAAAAATTTTAAACAATGACAGCAAAATTAACTAATGTGGGTAACTCTTATCCTATCCTCAGAATAGCCAATAAACAGTCATTGCTTGTTAGTGGAGACTAGGATTTTAAAGGTACTCAATGAATGAACAGAGCTTCCTCTTATCAAAACAGATGGCTGTTCATTGTGCAAGCATTCAAATATTAATTAGGTATGTTATCTAACTGAAATATTAAAGTTTTAACCCATTTCTCCTTTGAATTTTTAAACAGGTGTCTTTTTGTAAAGCTGAGGATCAGACTCAGAGCCTCAAGCATGCTCACCATGAACTAAGAGCTCTACCACTGTGTTTCAAGCTCACTCTAAAATCTTCTACCTTTTTAGAATCATGGTAAAAATAACTATACACAAAAGAGCAATAAGAAACAAGAATTTTAACTCATGACAAATTTTGTCCCCTACTTCTGCTAAAAATATTAGAGAAATATAACAAGATTAACAAACATGGATCATTCTGCACCCATGATCAATTTTTCACTATTTAATACCCGATACTAACCATTTCATGGCATAAAACTTCCCTGAGTATATGTGATATGTAAGCTAGATACCAGCTTAGTCATTCATTTCAAATTATATTTTTTCTATCCAAGCAAGTCACCTAATACATGATTCAATTCACAGCAATCTTTTATTGTATTTCTGGGAAGGTGGTCATGCACGTCAATGAATTATTTACCAGGTGTGGTAAAGCCCATTAATACTCTTCATCTTCAAGGCATATTATAAACTCTATACATCCTGAAGAAAAGCTACAAAATGTGGACATGTGGCAGTGTGGATGGGATGCCCAATAAAGATGCAGCTTATCTGTATAGCAAAGATTTTACATTCTTTCAGGCAAAGAAATGCCTATTCATGTTCATGACGATAGAAAGTCTGGTGCTAGTTTTTAGGTCAGTTCCTGCTGGGTACAATCATGTCAGCTGTAAACATTTTGGATCTTAAGCAAACTAGCCTCCCTCAAAGCCCTGAAATAGGAAGGAACCTCACACTTCACAGGAAAGCTGTTGTTTGGTCTATTTATATTTTCTCAGTTCTTTGCATCAAGCCTTATGAAAAATTTCACTGATGAACCATGGGAAATGGAATTGAAAAAATAGAAATTAATGCTTGCTATCCACATAGTAAGAAACTGTAAAATGTGAAGACAAAACAAAGCTAGAATTACATGTTTAAAGGAATAATACAGTCTATAACCTGTTTGGGAATTGTGATACCCTATGGGCTAGTTTAACAGACAGATTTGGTTTTTTTTATCTTTGACAAATTATCTAGTGAGTTGATGAT